CCAAGACGCTCAAGATGGCCTCCAAGACGGCCCAAGAGCCCTCCAAGACGTTCTCCAAGAAGGCCCGAAAGGGTCAAAATGGCCTCCAGGCGGCCAAGATGACCTTCAAGATGCCCACGTGTTCCCCGAAGGCTTTCCAAACCGATTCGGGGAACACATGGTCCGATAGCTTGGCAGGCCTGGCCTCAACGTTCGGCCACATAGGCGCTTCCAAAAAGGCAGGGGGCGACGGTGATTCGCCGTAGGCGTCTTAGATGCACCGCCCCCTGTTGGCTTGCCACAGGAGTGCCTGGCGTGCTAGACCCTTTCGGTTGGGTTTTTTGTTTCCAAAAGAACTCCCCCTGGGGCTTCGGCCCGTCCCGCCGGCCACCCAAAAGGGATCTCATTCCCCCAACAAATCCTCCAAGACGGCTCAAGATGGCCTCCAAGATGGCCACGTTGGCCCAAGATGGCCTCCAAAATAGTCCAAGATGGCCTCCAAGTCCGCCCAAGATGGTTCAAGACGGCCTCCAAGACGGCCCACGAGAGTCCAACATACCTCCAAGTTCGCCAAAGCAGCCTCCAAGACGGCCCAACACGATCCAAGAGGCCTCCAAGAAGTCCTCCAGGAGGGCCCGAAGAGGCCACAATCATTGATTTTCAATGGGAAGGATTTTGACATTTGTTTCTTCTCGGCATTCCGACGGCTCAAGACGGCCCACGAGGCCCCAAGATCGCCCCAAGATCGCCCACGAGGCCTCCAAGATGGCCCCATGAAGGCCCAAGAGGCCCCCAAGACGGCCCTACGAGGCCCCCAAGACGGGCCAACAGGCCTCCAAGACGCCCAAGATGGCCTCCAAGAAGGCCCCGAAGCGCCCCAAGAGGGCCCCAAGCCGGTTCAGAGAGGCCCCCAAGACGGCTCCCGACGGCGTCAGACGGGCCAGGAACGCCCTAAGACGGCCAAAGAGGCCCCCGAGAAGTCCCAAAAAGGTCACAAGAGGCCCTCAAGAGGCTCCAACATGGCCTCCAAGACGGTCCCAAGATGGCCTAATCGAGCCCAAGAGTGCCTCAAGAGGCTCCGAAGAGGCATCCTCCCCCTTCTCCTTTTTTTTCTCCTTCTCCTCCTCTTCCTCTTCCTCCCCCACGTGTTCCCCGAAGGCTTTCCAAACCGAGTCGGGGAGCACATGGTCCGATAGCTTCGCCTTCCAAGATGCCTCCAAGACGGCCCAAGGTGCCTCCAAGACGGCCTAACATGGCGTCAATATTGCCCAAGACGCGCCAACAGGCCCCCAAGAGGCCTCCGATAAGAAGCTCCCAGGCGGCTCCAAGAGTGTCCCCAGAGGCTCCCAAGATGCCCCCTCTTCCTCGTTCTTCTCCTCCTCCTCCTCCGCCTCCTCTTGATCTTCCCCGCCACCCTCCACCACGTGTTCCCCGAAGGGTTTCCACAACGGCTGGGGGAACACATGGTCCGATAGCTTGGAAGAGCTCTTGCCAAAACGCTCGGCCACATGGGCGATTCTAGAAGGCAGGGGGCGGCGGTGATTCACCGTAGGCGTCTTCGATCCGCCGCCCCCTGTTGGCTTGCCACAGGGGTGCCTGGCGTGCTGAACCCATTTCGGTCTCGGTTCTGGCTCTTTTTCCAAAAGAACTCCCCCTGGGGCTTCGGCCCGTCCCGCCGGCCACTCGAAAGGTTGCCGAAAATGCCCGGGTGGTTCCCCCTTTCGCGTCCAAGACGGCCAAGATTGCCCAAGATGGCCTCCAAAATGCGTCTAAGACGGCCAAGCTGGCCTCCAAGACGGGTAAGATGGCTCCAAGATGCCTCCAAGACGGCCCAAGATGCCCTCCAAGACGGCCAAGATGGCCCCAAGATGCCTCCAAGATGGGCCAAGAGGCCCCCAAGAGGCCCCCAAGAGGCTTCCAATGCGCCCAAGAGGCCTCCAAGAGGTCCTCCAGGAAGGCCCGAAGAGGCCAAGATCATAGATTTTCCGGAGACCAAAAAAAGATTTGGGCATTTGCGCGTTTTGGGTTTTCCGTCGGCCCAAGACGGCCCAAGAGGCCCCCCTCGGGGCCCCAAGATCGTCCAAAAGGCCTCCAACATGGCCCGAAGACGACCCAAGAGGCCCTAAGACGGCCCCAAGAGAGCCCCAAGAAGCCTAGAAGGCAAGGGACGGCGGTGATTCGCCGTATGCGTCTTCGATCCGCCGCCCCCTAGTGATTCATCACAAGGGCGCACGTCGTGCTGGGTATCTGAAGGCTGTGGCTCTTGTCTAAAATAACTCCTCGTGGGGTCTCGGCTCACCCGGAAAAGCTACGGGCCATGAAGGTCTTTCTAACCCAAAACGGCCCCTGGGTGTCCTCCAAGATGGCCAAGATAGCCCAATATGGCCTCGAAGTTTGCCCAACATGGTCCAAGATGGCCCCACGACGGCCCAAGATGTCTTCCAGGCGTCCCATGAGGCCTCTTAGACTCCATAAGACGGCTCAAGAGGACCTCTGGGAAGCCCAAACCTTTGATTTGCCGCAGGTTGATCCATGGTTTTAGCGTTCTCGCCTTTTCGGGTATCCGATGCTCCAAGACGGGCCCACAAACCTCCAAGATCGCCCCAAGACGACCAAAGAAGCCAGCAAGAGGCCCGCAAGACTGCTCCGAGGCCCCCAAGAGGCCCCCAAGAGGTCCCTGAGAGAGCCCCAACAGGCCCCAGGACCTCCAGGAGGCCAACATCCTGGATGTTCCTAACATTTTCGACCTGATGTTACATTCGCGCCTGTTCGGGCTTTCGACGCTCACAGACGGGCTCATAAGCCCCAAAGCCGAAAGGGGCCCGCTAGACAGCCTAAGAGGTCCCCAAGACGGCCCCAGAGACGTTCAAGACGGCCCTAAAGCGCCCAAATAAGGACCAACGATTGCCCAGGGAGGGCCCAAGACGGCCTCCGAAGGCCAAAGGCCCCAAAGAGGTCCCCAAGAGGTCCCCAACAGGCCCCAGGAGGACCTTCAGGAGGTCAATATCATACATGTTCCAGATAGGTTTCTCACTGGTGTCAGGTTCTCGCCTTTTCGGGCTTCCGACGCTCCCAGACGGGCTCATCGGCCCCCAAGATCGCCCCAAGACTGCCCAAGAGGCCCGCAAGACGGCCCAAGAGGGCCCCAAGACAGCCCACAATACCCCCGAGACGGCCCCAGAGACTTCCAAGGCGGCCCTAACGTAGGCCCCAGGACGGCCTCCGAAGGCCAAGAGACCCCGAGAGGCCCCAGGAGGCCACATGAGACCACCGAGAGGCCCCTAGGAGCCTCCAAAAAGGGCCCAGGAGGCCTCAAGAGGCTTTCTTCTCCTCCCCCTCCTCCTCTTTTCTCTTCCATTCCACAATGTTTTCCCAAGGGGTTCCACAACGGCTGGGGGAGCACGTAGTTTAATAGCTTGGCCAGATTTTGGCCCAACGTTTGGCGGCATGGGGGCGTTTTTTTCAAAGACGGGGCGCAGTGGTGATTCGCCGCAGGCGTCTTAGAACATGCCCACGCCTCAGCGCCAGCCACGCGCGCGCGCGGCTGCGTCCCTTACTTAGATCACCGCCTCACCGTAGCGCTGGCCGCATCCCTGACTCGGAAGGATGCTCTCGCCTCGGCGCCAAGCGACAAGCACGCGCGCGCGAGCGGTTGAGCAAGGCGCACGCCTCTCCAAGGGAGCGTTGGGCCCCCTAGCGCGACACGCAGATCTAAACCTGCAGGCGTGCAAGGCTGGCCAGCGGCGCAGAGGGGAGACGCTTCTGGGCGAAGAACACATCCGTATCCGCGGCCTCGCGAGCCAGGCCCCTAGGCCGCGACCCCGCGTGTCCGCAAGATCGCGCCATAGAATACAGACCGCGAGGCCACGGATACGGATATTGTTGGCCGAGCCTCTCACTGATGTGATGTGCGGAGAGCAACTCCGGGCGTTCTGTTGTACAGTGGTCTGTGACCTTTCCCGTTTGGTGCTCTCGCCAACACGCATGCATGTACCCGTGGTAACTTGAGACTACAATTCCTTGCGCAATAAAATGTTCGCCGTTGCATAGTGAGGTGCGCACACTTCGCTGGCGGTCGTGGCGCGCCGCTGCAAAAGAATGTGCGAGCGGTGGTCAGCCTTCGGTGCGCTCCGCGCGGGCCCGCCTCTCGCTGGCGCGCTCCTCCAGAGTCGTCGCGATCGCGTCGCGCGCGGTTTCGCGCGCATGTGCAACACCGCTGACCGACAGCGCAGAACGCGGAGAGGTATGCGCAAAGGAAACACAAGGAGCGGACGGCCTGAAGCCTGAAGCCTCGCCGCGATCTGAAGTGGTTGGGGTGCCATAGCGCGTCGGCTCGTCAGAGAGTGAGTGCAGCGGGGGCGGGGGAACTGAGAAGGACAATGGGGGAGGGAGGAGGAGGAGGAGGAGGAGGAGGAGGAGGAGGAGGAGGAGGAGGAGGAGGAGGAGGAGGAGGAGGAGGAGGAGGAGGAGGAGGAGGGAGGAGGAGGGGGAGGAGGAGGAGGAGGAGGAGGAGGAGGAGGAGGAGGAGGAGGAGGAGGAGGAGGCGGCGGAGGAGCAGGACACGGCCAGCCCCCCTGGGCGCGGAAGCTGCGGGGCGGATTGAGACGTAGGAGCGAGGCGGGGCAGAGATGAGGCCTCCTCCTCCCCTGGTGCTCCCAAAACCCCGTCGTCCTGATTTTGTTCAATGCGTGAGGCTTCAACGCTCTCGCGGATGAATCTCGCGCGGCTTAATGGGCCCTGGGGCCAGAAACGGGCTTACGCGGGCCCCGCCTCAGAGACCCCGGCCGCCCCGTCTTCTTCGGGCGCTGGAGGTCTGGATTCTCGGAGCTTGGGAGGCCCAGGGTCCGCGGGAGACATCCGTGCACCACCTCCATGCCTGGCCAGGGCCACCCTGGGACCCAGGATGGGGTTTAACTTGTTGCGCTCCTGGCCGAGGACAGGCGGGGGCTTTCCATCGTGCCCAGGGCCCAAGATGGCCATGGCACGGCATGGTGGTGGCGCATAGGTCCCGCGTGCAGAGCCTCGTACATCGGGTTCTCGAACTTGTTCACCATGCGCTCGCGCAGGCCTTCCCGAGACATTCGCCAGCCGGTGCCACCCTGCTGCCAGGAGTACAGGTGGTACGGGCGCAGGTCGCTGGCATCCTGCTGGCGAGGGGCGCCTCATTCTCCTCCCCGAATCGAGGGATCCTCTCGCTTCTCTTCCTCCTCGTCCCAGTCCTCCTACTGCTACAGTTCACCTTCCTCCTCGCCCTATTCCCCCTTGTCTTCCTCCTCCTGGACCCGATCCCACGCGAAATCAGGCTCCGCGCCACGTACCACTTTCCCCCTCCTCCTCCTCAACCTCCTCCTCCTCCTCCTCTTCCTCCTCCTCCTCCTCCTCTTCCTCCTCCTCCCCTTCCTCCTCCTCCTCTTCATCCTCCTCCTCCTCGTCTTTTTACGCCTCCTTTTCCTCCTCCTCCTCCTCCTGGTTCTCCCCCCCTTTTGGGCCCGTAGCCAGCTTGGCCCACGATGTGTGTTTGCCCGCGGCGCAGCACGGACACCGCCAGTCCGCGGGCAGTCTCCAAGCACTTTCAACGCCCACCGACCCTGCCGAGAAGCTCGGCAGTCGGCCTCCTGCACCTCCGACGGGAGGGAGCGGCCTGTTGCCCCCCGTCGCCCGCAGTCGTGGTGCCGCAACCGCCGCAGCCCAGCATGCTGCGCGGCCCGCGCCGCCCCACGTGTGCCCGTGGGCGATGCGCCGCGAGCGCGAACTGTAGGGGAACAAAAAGTGACACAAACATAAAAACTCGGAGGTCCGCGCGGATTTCTCGGATCCGCGCTGGGGCCCCCCGGCGGCGCCTCCGGCGCCGCCCCTGGCGCGCTCCGCGCGCCAGGGAGGGGGGTCCAGCGCCGATCCGAGAGATCCGCGCGGACTTCTGAGTTATGTTTATGCCACTTCTTGTTCCCCTAAACTGGGCGTGCAAGACCAAGTGCGCCTGCTATGGCGACGCCCCCGCTCGCATCCGCAAGGCAGCGTCGGACAACCACAAGGAGTGGGATGGGGCCCTGCTCGTCAGCTTCGCCTCCCCATGATCGACTCCGACCTCGGCAAGCGTTTGGCAGAGAGCGGGAAGCTGCTGCGAGGTGGGGGGTGACAAAAACGAGGGATCAACTCCGCCATGGTCCAAGGTTGTCAAGGCTGACCACGTGGCGGCTGAGCCGAAGCCAGATGACAAGGAAGATGATAAACATGCCAAACTCGCTGCTTAAGTGGTGTGATTCGAGACCACTTTAATCTCTACCCGCTGGAGAGCCAGGCGAGGATCTTCAATCGTTGCTGCAGTCCAAGATCGACGCCATCAGGAGAAAACCAAAAGAACTACGACCTCCTGCGGTGGCAGGCCGCAGAACCACGCAGGAGTTGTTCAAAGCCAAGGCGTCCGTCGACGGCTTGGCCGATACATATATAAGTGCATATACATACATACATACATTCATACATACATGTATTAGACGACACTCAACCCTCTTGAGGCTTCAATCGAGGCTCCTCTCCTTGTGCAAGAGATCCGCCTTCGGCAGCGCAGACCGCTCGAAGCACCGCCTGCAGCGCTGGCCACCTCTGTGACCAGGCACTGCTGCGAGCGGCCCGCACCACACCTCTGCGCGGTGCTTCGGCCACTCATTATCCTAACAAATTATCCGACTGAATTCCGCTCACTGTTAATTGGCCTTATTTTTGGCCTTGCCCTGGGACGACGCTGAGCTTTTGAAGGCAAGAGAGGCCACCTCCTTGGCTGCAGCACTCCTCGGAGCAAATCGTCCATGATAGTCAAGCCAACATTATCAAAAGTCTTCTCATGCATGAGAGTGCGAAGGTAATTCATAATATTTTCCCTCGGGAAATGAAAGATCCATTTATCATACTTAGTCCCATCCAACTCAACTTCATAATGAAATGCACGAAGACAGCGTACAGTGGAATCAATGTTGCACCTCTCGCCGAAGGAAATGATGTTTGAAATAGCCACAGCCGTAGGTCCTGCAATATGATCAACTGTTTCTTTCAAAGCAGGCTGCTGAAAGTACGATAAGAGCCTCTCCATCAAAGCTCTACCCAATACATCTGTTTTTTTCCCATACGGATGGCCACGATACTCACCGCCTATCTCCTCTGCCTCTAGGCACAGGGTGGGCGTGTCCTCAGGTCCTGGGCCCAATCCTCTAAGCCGCAGTACAGTCCCCACTCCTGAGGAGTCTTGAAGGGGCCCGGACCCCAAATTCCAAAATCTCCCAGGCCTTTCCGCGTGCCCCCCGGGGTTCCCAGCGCCTTGTCGCATGTTTTTTGGGGTCCCAGAGGACCCCAAGACGGACCAAGAAGGCTTCAAGAGGCTCCCGAGACTGTCCAAGGAGGCCCCGAAGTCGTCGAACGATCCCTCCAAGACGCTCAAGATGGCCCCCAGACGGCCTAAGAGGCCTCCAAGACGCTCAAAGAAGCCTCCATGACCTCCCAAGAGGGCCCCAAGAGGCCAATCATTGATTTTCCTTCGGTTTTTGAAAGATTTGGGAGTTCTTGCCTTTTCGGCTTCCCGACGCTCCCAGACGGCCCTGGAGGCCCCCAATACCGCCCCAAGACGGCCCAAGGGGCCTCTAAGAGGGCCCCCAAACGGCCCAAGAGGGCCCCAAGGCAGCCCAAGAGGCGCTCAAAATAGCCCAAGAGGGCCCCAAGACGGCCCCAAGAGAGGGCCACAAGAGGGAACACGAACCGAAAATCCGAGCCTTTCGCCCCAAGAGGCCACCAGGAGGCCCCAAGAGGCGCCCAGGAGGGCCCAAGAGACCCCCGAGAGGCCCCCAAGAGGTCCCAAGAGGCTCCCAAGAGGCCCCCCCCCAAGAGGCGTCCAAACTGCCTCCAAGAGGCCCCCGAGAAGACTCCCACGAGATCCCAACGGACATCCCAGATGCTTCATACCCAGCCAACCCAGGCACGGTGGCGGGATGGGCCGAAGGCCATGACATATGTATGTAAATAAGTATATGTGTGTGTATGTTTGTTTGTATGCAAGTCTGTCTGTATGCATGTATGTGTATGCATATGTGTATGTATGTATGTATGCGCGCACGTAAGCATGTACGTATGCTTGTATGTATATACACGTGTGTTTATATACATATATGTACGTAAGTACGTACGTACGTACGTATATGTATATCTGTATATTTATATATACACAGATATATGTGTATGTATGCATGCGTGTGTGGGTGTATGTATATGTGTATGCACGTATGTACGTACGTACGTATGTATGCATGTATGTATGCATGCATGCATGCATGCATGTACGTATATGTTTATGTGTGTATTTAAATGTGTGTACGTGTAGATGCGTGTGTGTATGAATGTATGTATGAATGAATGTACGTCAAGCCAGATGGGATCGACGACTCTAAGCTCAAGAGCTTCATTGGTACTGATGTCTGGGCCAAACGTGGCGAGCTGCTCTCGTCCAAGATCCCAGTACCTGGTGACACCGACAAACCAATGGATGCTAAGGATGACGATGGCAACCTTGATAGCGACAAGTCTTGGATGGCTCCAGGGCAGCCGAGCAGAACTCAAGCGAGACTTCGACACTGAGCCAGCTGAGCAGCAGGCCCCGCATGGATATGGAAAGACAACCAAATTCGAAGAGTTTGCCGCCAAGATCCGCGATCCTGGGTATGGGTGACGATATGGGTGATATGGGAAGAAACCACGATATGGGTGACGATATGGGTGACGATCCGCGATCCTGGGAAGAAGCCACGATATGGGTGACGGCACCCTGTTGCCTGGCATCAGGCTAAGCGGTGGTGAGGTGCGCGCTCCAACCCCAGCTACCACCCAAAGCACGTACACGTTCGCCAAACGCCTACGGTGGCAAGTCTGCAGTGAAACATATGATACAACGTACCGCAATACATGTTGTGCTGATCCAAGAGACTGGCTTTACCGCTAGCAATTTGGAGTCGCTGCACAGTTGGGCTGCCAACAGAGGGTAGACTGTGGCGGGGTCGCCGTCCTGGTGCGATCCAACCTAGGCCTACGTCGCCCCCCAGGTGGAGAAACGATTCGCGATCACAGGTTGCAGTACGTGCTGATTATGCCAGGATGGCCTAGCATGTCTGTCCTCAACGTCTACCTGAATGACTCCATCGGCGCCAGTGGCGAGACTGCTGAAGTTCTGGCACCACCTGAACGGACCATGTCTCGCACTAGCACCTCATGCATCATCGGCGGCGACTGGAACATGACAGGCCATGCCCTAGAGGAGTCTGAGTTTCCCAGGCCGACTTCGACAGTGTTGGCTATCCCAGATCAACTCACCTTCAGAAGAGGGACTGACTGTTCTACGATTGATGATTTCGGCCTCAACGATGCAGCACTGAGGGGAGATCGAAGAGTTCAGATACAGTCTAGCTGGCTCAAGAAGGCTGACGAACCTGTCCTACTCAATAACGTCGACAACGGATACTCGATCCAGCATCTCATCTACTCTGTCACGACGCGACTCTCATCCAAGCATCCCCCAAGTCCGCTCACGAAACCGATCGATTGTCCATGCACGCAGCTCTTGCCAGCATGGCTGTGAAGATGGCTGGTGATTTTTCAAGCGAGCCAAACATGGCATGGGCAATTATTTCCTGAACGCACGGTAGTTCTGCACTATCAGTCGCCTATTGGTGTTGATGTAAGTCCTGTGAGGGCATACGGCAGAAACCTCGAGCCTGGATGGGTGAGTGCCCAACACAAGATCAACCAAGAGAACGACGTCCAGGGTATGCGGCAAGATTGGTAGTGGATGAGGGAGGCGCTCACTAGCATCCTGAAGCTCTACGCGAAACCTGACATGATAGCTGAATGTTCGGAAGATCGCGCAGTTCTTGAGCAACACCCACCCTGGTGCTGGTCTCAATGGGCGGCTAGACAGTACTGTGCAGCAGGCCAAGCATGAGATCGACCAGATTCCACATAGGAAAATGATTCGAATGCTTCATGGAATGAAGGGTGCCAAACAGCAGCACATGGAGGAGCCCGACCCCCACATTGCACGACGAAGGTGCAAAGCATGCCAGTTCCAGCGGTTGCTATTGGCGTTCCAGCAGGCGACCCGATCGTCATC